ATTATTATTATTATTATTATTATTATTATTATTATTATTATTATTATTTTAACTTCTTTTTCTCATAGGTCATCAGGAAACCCTGTGTGTTCTACCTTTTAATTATTTCCAGAATCCAAACATTTGTCATTGTTACCCAAAGAGCTTAAGAAAGGTGCTGACACATATGCTGGTTTACTGCCTAAATGAGGGTTGGAGGAGAGTCTGTCTATGGCCAGAACTGTTCAGACAATAGCCTCACTGACATATGGATTTGTGTTTCTTTGAATTTTCTGCTTGCCTCTGCATATAAGCATGTTCTTTATTTAAGAAAAGCTAAAGGCAGATAAGAAGTTTTTATTTTCAGTTATTGAGTTCCAAGAATAGAAGGACCTAGCAGGACACTATGAGAGCAACAACCAAAGCTCCCTACTACCTTGGTCAGCCCCTGTAAGGACGCTACACTCTGTAACCCAAACACAAATGAGGTCAAAGAAAAGGTGAGAAGAAAAAGGGAAAAGGGGAAAAGAGAAAGAAAAAAAAATCAAAAGGAAAGAAGACAGGAAAGGTTTTAAATCTAAGTGGCAGAGCTGGAAAGACAGGTCAGTGGGTAAACTGCTTTTACGCAACCCTGATAACCTGGGTTAGAATCCCACAACACACACAAACCCCCCAAAGCCCAGATGAGGTGATGAGTTTGTTGAGTCTGTAATCCCAGCTTCGGTATTCCTGTGGCGGTGGGAGGTAGAGACAGGAGAATTGACCAGAAGCTCAAGTTCATGGTGTAGCAGCAGAGAGACTCTGTTAAAAACAAGGTGAAAGGAAAGAATAGACTCCTGGAAAAACTGTCTTCTGATTTCTACACACATAGGCATACAAATAAATTAATTTTAAATAATCTAAGTGGTAGGCTGGTGTGGCGGTACTCACCTTTAATCCCAGTGTTCAGAAGGCAGAGGCAGGAGGATTTCTGTGTGTTCCAGGACAGCTAGAGTTATACAGTGAGACCCTTCTCAAAAATAAATAAATAAATAAATAAATAAATAGATAAATAAATAGATAAATAGATAAATAAATAAATAAAAATCCAAGTGATAACAAATTTTGGCTTCACTCCAGAGAACAAATGTAATATTGGAAAGAGGCAAGAGACTACCTTATTTCACTTCTATTCTGCCTCAAACTCATACTGAAGTTATTTGCTTGACTGTGAGTTTGTTTTAAGCCCTGAGGAGGAAGGCTCCTGTCACACCCACTCATTCCTCCTCTTTGCTGACTGTCCTGGTGAGACAGCTTACAGAGGGCAGTTAGCCACAGCTACTTGTTCCTCATCAGCCAGACAAGTGGGGAAGCTGAAGTGTGAAGACTTTCTGACTAAATTGGTTAGTTCAGCCAGCTAGCATGCACAGCCATGGGCATCAAATTGGAAAGAAACTGGAGTATGTGGGAGGGAAATTTGCATCCATGAGACAGGAGAGGATTTATTCTCTCACTTTTTGGTAGGGGGGGGTCACAAATATGTTACTGGGGGTCACTCTTGAGCACCAATTATTCCAGGTTTTTGACACTTTGTTCAAAGAATAGAAAAAGTGTACAAGAACAAAGTACTTAAGAGATCTTATTCAGAGGCAAAGTAAAAGCACAAATTAGATGTACTACAAGGAGCTGTAGGTCCTGAGCAAGCATGTAGCTCAAGAGGGTCTGGTTACTGTTTGGGGCTTTCTTTTTATGGGTTCAGGAAGAAAAGCAGTAGGTTTTGTGTGTGTATGAGATAGAGAGAGGAGAGAGTCGAGGTTTCTTGTTTTAATTGACAGTATGGAAGCCTTTTGCTCATTGTGTATATTCTTTTCCATGGGGAATCTAGTTTTAACCATATACATGAGCAATCACTCATAGGCATTAGATGGCAAATGTGGTAAGACAGACTCCGCCTCCTGCACATGCCTCAGCACCAGGTTGGTTCAGCCATTGGCCCTAGTTTCAGGACACACTTTTGACCACAGAGAATTAGTAAGGGTTGCTAGGGAGCTATATGTTGGGTTACTGCTTTGTTTGAAGGTGTTTGTTTGTTTGTGTGTGTGTTTATGTGTGTTTATAGCTAAGGCAGGTGGGGGTCCTAGGTTGCTACGTACTTTGTTGGGAAAGAAATATGAGTAGCTTTCAAAACACTTGCCTGCTTCACCGTCACCTCTAATGCCCCACTGTGGAGAATATGTTATCTTTTTTTTTCTGTAGTTGTCACTGAACCAGAGATGTCTACTATACAGTTCTGTAGGATTTTCTCTCTTTAAACCAAATGTGGTAGCACATCCTTGTAATCTCAGCACTTTGGAGGTGGAGGCAGGAGGAATAGAACTTCAAAGTCTTCACCTACATAGTTCTAGACTATTCTGGGGTGCATAAGACCATGTCTTAAATTTTTTTTTCTTTTTTCATTTGAGACATGTAGCTAACCCAAATTAACCTCAACCTC